ACCGAATACTAAACGAGCATTGCTTACAACTACGATGAAAATGAATATCAGAACGTGTACACATGTTTATCCATTTATTCCAAGAAATGTGACCGGAAAAAATTCAGAAAGGTCTATGAGGGTACGATTCGCAGCGCGCATCAAAAAAAAAGATACATTCGCGAGCTGCACGAAATTGGACCTTGTTCGCAAGACTGCGAATAAAGGTGGAAGTATACATGTTACCTAATAAAGATTAAGGTTTATATGTGATGCGTTGTGGAGCTCGATGGCGCAAGTGGTTAGCGCGTTCGGCTGCGATCGTTGAAGTTAAGCAACTTTCGCAGTGCTCGGTCATTGGATGGATGACCAAAAATTTACTATTTCGAGCTCCTCCGTGCTTCGGCGCGTTAATCTGTTGGTCCCGGCTGCATCTGCAGTCATTAGCACCCACCAATCCTCACTGGGCCCGCGTGGTGGATCATAGCCCAATCTCCCTATTCCATCCAGAAGGAAGGCTGGTGCTCCAGCAGTGGGGACATTAATAGGCTGGTGATGAGGATACATGTTACCGAGGACGCTGACGTCATTGCCATCGAATGATAGCTGCGGTTCACGGGTTTTCGAATCGTGGCGATTGGTAGAGATGTTGTTCTGTTTGTCTCACTTACTGGTGCCGGTTTTTTTTATATAGAGGTAGGCAAAGGACTCTACCCCACCTGATGTTAAGTGGTAATAAGGTCCAAACGCTAAGATTTACTGCTACACCAATCATCCTCAGCTTGCCGGCCTGCATAAATGCTTCTTCATGCCTCTCTTAAAGGACCCCAAATTATAGGAATGAGGGAACACTTGCGCGGGTAAATAATTCCACTTACAAATAGTACGACAAAGAAATGAGTCACCAAATTTCTTTGTTCGTGTAGGAATAGTGGCCACAGTAAGTCGGTGGCAACGCAGGCCAGCGCGCGTGGTCCTCTGAAGAAAAGGTGATGGAGGGATAAGGGGGAATAACTCCTCAGAACACTCGCTGTGGTATCGTTGGATACTATATATATAGTAGATAGTATTCAAGTACAGTTGCGAAAATAGCAAATGCCCTAAAACCGAATTTTCTGTAAGAAGACAATACAAATCTTTGTGAGGTAGGTGTTCGGTCTTCACCCTCACTGCATCAGCATACTCCGGTTACTTATTACTATATCACTATTAGTGTGATGTATTCAATAATGAACACGTAAAATTAGAAGATTATATTAAGAAACAATGAAAATTACAATATAATCCTAATATTAAGGATAAGGTACAATGACGTATAATATAAAGACAGAATATACGCCAAGATTATTACATTTTAAAATGACAAAAGTAGTCGCCGCAAGGATATTAAACACCGTAGATACAACAACACGAACAAAATCGTGGCCGAAACCTGTCCAAAAGGTACTTTGGACGATCCACGGAGCTCCGTAAGATGATCGCGTTGTCAATAATACTATGTGGTATTTAATATCGTTGAGTTACCCAAACATCCCTTGGCAACAGCCGCCAATAGAGCGCAGAAGTCTCATTCACTCTCATGCATAAAGCAGAGATGGTGGCAATGGTGTATTCCGAAATATACATCAGTATACTGGCCAGCGGTAATGACGTCACGAATCCGACGCCATATTGTACGGGTATGCTACCATATTTTTACCAGGAAAATAATAAAATCTTCTTTATTCGCACTATTTTTAATAATTCGTCGATTTATGACGTCAGTGCAGTGGCCAGTATATTTGGAAACAATTCACCAGTATCACACATCTCGTTCTTTAGTTTCCATGTGTCAACGGTGTCAACAACTGTCAAAATAAGTAGGTAATACTTTTACATTAATTTCTTTAAAAGAACTGTTCATACTTACGAATGATATGACACATTTTGCTTGTCTCTAATAGTTCCCATGTAATTTGTGTACTATCTATAAAACAAATATACATAGGGATTTTTGCCTGGAAAAAAGTAAAAAAAAATCTCGTTGTAGCGAAGTGTAGCCGCGGCGAGAGAGCGTAGCCGACTGAATGCAATTCGGGCAATTACCTTATTTTCGTATTGCTAAAAAAGAAGAGTGTAAGACTTATCTATAGTAACTACAAAACATCACAGATAAGGTACCTTTCCTTATATTAAATTAAATACAAGACCATACAAATATGTATATACAATAAAGTTTTGTAAAAATCAGTTATCATGACCATGGAGTAAGTGATTCAGTAACTGACTGACTATAATGTTAATAACCATGAAAGTTTAAAACGAGGTATGGAATGATTCTTTGTCGGAACTGATATGTGTGCGTCAACCTTAAGGAACCCTCTTGGACGCGTAACGGCGTCGTAAAATAGCATCCCGTTTACAGTTGTCCGATGATGGCCGAAGATTGCCGAAGATTGCCGAGGCACGACGAAAGGCCTGCCTGTCTTGACCGCTATCGTAGGCAACTACCAAGTATAAGAAACTTTTTGAAATTTTTCATAGCGCTTGCTTTACAATTGCGACTTGCGAATTTATTTGGCTCAACGAAACTTTTTCCACGAGCAGCCGTTTCTTCGGGGAGCAAAGTTTAAAATGTAAGGATAAATGTTTGACTCGGGTGTTGCTAAATGAATCATGGCTGCTTCGTTATAATGACTCGTCATAAATGATCATAAATGAATTTTGACGACCTCCGTGACAGAGTGGTTTGTATGCCAGGTTTTAAGGTGTCGCCTATGCGAGAGGTCTCGTGTTCTAATCCCGGTGAGAGCAGCTGTTTGTGTGATGATTATAGCAGTCATCGATGTTTAGTATGTATTTATTGTATTTTTAAGTAGTTATTAGAGGAGCTCGATGGCGCAAGTGTTTAGCGCGTTCGGCTGCGATTGCTGAAGTTAAGCAACTTTCACAGTGGTCGGACATTGGATGGGTGACCGAAAATTCACTATCTCGCTTCGGAAGGCACGTTAAGCCGTTGGACCCGGCTGCATCTGCAGTCGTTAGCACCAGCCAATCCACACTGGGCCCGCGTCGTGGGTCATGGCCCAATCTCTCTATTCCATCCATAGGGAAGGCCTGTGCCCCAGCAGTGGGAAAGATTTGGCGTGCACTTTATGGTCCAAACTAGCAAGGATACTTTTAGGTGTCAAATATTTTAGGTTCTCATTATCAAAACACAAACTGCTAAACGTATCTGCAGTTTTTGATACATCGTGTGTCGTCATTATAAGCTTTTTTTTATTACTGAGATTACTTCTTTTTTTAAGGGACTTTCGGAACAAATTGTCTATACCAGGGGGCCATTCGCATAACAGAAATGCTTTGGAAAACGCTAACGCTTTCGATTTCATTTTGTTATTTCTGACCTCCGAAGGTTTTTAATTACCTCACGCTCATTTTCTTTAATATTGTTATTACTAATGCAAAAGAAAACAAAAGAGCGCGAGGCATTTGTAAACCTCAGGCGGCTAGAAATAACAAAATGAAATCGTAAGCGTTAGCGTTTTCCAAAGCATTTCCGTTAGGCGAATGGCCCCCAGCTCCACTATAACCTGATCATACAATTCTCTTAAAATCACTTAACAACCATATTGCAAAGCACACAAGCCTCCTCCGATACGGGGTTGGCTAGGATGCCTTGCAATATGCCAGTCTCAAACCTATTAATTTTAAGGATGGAGAATGCATGTCTCCTTGTTTGGGACAGTCAGGTCTCCTATCTTATGAGGTACTCGTATACTTGATAAACGTTTAATTAGGTATAAATTACAATAAAATTAATGATAGAATAATTTGTATGCGTATTATGCGCCGTATAAAATTTGAATGTGCGGGTCTTCTTCGCGGCTTCTTTCACCGGCTTCTTTCACTTTCGTTTCGTTTTCGCCGTTGTGCAAATTGATGGAGACACAAGCGTCGACACTCCTTTTCACTTCATTTTTGACGCATTCCATTAATTTGTTGCACATCCTCCTCTTTTCCACATGTTTCACAATAACATTATTTACTTATTGATGTCTGATGATTGTACGTCAGTCTCGTATAAAATTTAAATGTCTTGGTAGCATAGCAGTCAGTGTATTCCCTCGGATACCAAAGTACACTGGTTTCTATTCAGTTTGAAACGTGGTCCGAGTTGATTTGTTTCTAGTTAGCATTTTCCTTTGGTTGTTTATTTAGTATGCGGACTATCTCCAATGAAGGTGCGTGCCAACCCGAGTCTGTAGGTACTACGAGCTTCAATCTTGAGCGGCCAAGAAGCGCAGAAGCGACTACAATGCGACAAGTGGCGTATGAATAATCCATGTCACGTAAGTATGTGTAGCTACATTTGAATACGCGGACAGGCAGCGCGTTGGCTCTCACGCCAGCTTTGCAGTCACTTTGATCCTTCAGGGTTTCTCATCTTATTAAATGTGTGAGGACTTTGTCCTTTTTTAATCATGTGAAGAAAATTGCCTCAAAGAAAATTTGTTTCATACATTTTAATTTAATTAATACACCTAGCAGGAATACGTCATTCATAATGCTTCTTGTATTTTCAAATATGAATTGAAACGTGCCATTGGTTTGTAGGCACACGGCTCACTACATTCTACACGTTTTACGTTTACGTCCAACCTTAGGTCAAGTTATGCCATGTCATCATTTTTATCTGATGTCAGTGAGGGTAATAAAAAGGCACCGACCCAGTGATCAGGAAAAGAAACGGCGCACGTAACCGTAGATAAGATGCCGCCGAAGTGACAAACACTAAGGCAATACGCATTCACAATAAGCTAACATTCTCATAAATCCGTAACGCAATAACAGAATTAACTACGATTTATCGCCGCGCGACGTTTCGGTGGTACCGTTAACGAGGGCTGCTTCACGGCGGCTGAGGGTGTTCGGCGTCCGTCGGGCTCGTCGGGGCTCGTTCGCCGTCGGGCGTCATCTCAACGGCGAGGCTGCGCGGGTAGGCATGCGCAGTACCCGCACCCGTGAGCCGCACCGTCAGTGAAACGGCGATCACCGCCGCACCGCGTTACAACGCCCGTCTCTCCCCAAAATTGATGCAATAATTACAATATCCAATGATATCGCGTAGGTGTGATATTTAAGAATCTTTTAATAATAACACGAACGACTGTTGTTGGCGAGTGTGCCCGCGTGACGTGCAGTGAGTGTGTACAGTGTAAGGTATGTTGTGATGTGTGTGAGACTTTGACGATTTCATCGTCGATCGGACACGGATGTTTCTTATGGTGAGTGTTTTTTAAACGTGTAATATAACCTTCGTAATACATGAAATCCTTTGGACATACGAATTTATTAACATAGTGGCAATTTTCTCTTATTATTTTCACGTTTTCATGGAAGATGAAATTCATAACCTAAAATTTAGCGTCGGATGTAAGTGGATACATAAAAATTAGACATTGAATAAGTAAACTAGATTTTACTACAGATCAAATAAAAAGTTTGAATACATCATAGAAAACAAATAATACCTTTAATTTTTTGGAAATCATGCACCCTTCTGAATAGATGATACATAATTGAAATAAGTTCTGACGAATCATTATTATATGCAGAGTATTTTTACATAACTATTTAAAGGTCAGTTATGTTGCTTAAGTATAATTGACTTCTGTTAAAGCAATACAAAATGTAACATGATTAACTAGAGCGAATATTAAACAAATTAAATAAAAATCACAGGAAAGTTTCAAACGATTATTGGCCAAAATACAAATCGTCCGTTTGCATGTCTCTATTTGAATTTGCATGACGGAAACCAGTCGGCCTTGTTATTATCTTTCGTTATACAAACATGTAATAGGACGCTGTCTTACTTGAATGTTCAAACAGCTAAGCCAGTAATTGTAATAAATGGGAGTCTTTCAGGGATGTTCGTGAGGTCCACAATTATTTACATATTGCAATAGCATTTTATTGTAACTCGTCTGTGTTTTCTTTTTGATAAAATTGATTAAGGTTTTTATGATAATTATTATGCATTCTAATTTAATATTATGTGCCTTGAGACAGATATATAACGGGCATAATAAATTTTCGTATCGCATCAAAATTGAAATCATCTGATATCAAATAGTTGATTTCTGAATAGCGTACCCTGCGGCAGTTATGATAATTAATTTTGATTAAATGGATAGTGAGAATTTGTCATCATAGTAAATCTTTCCTTTACTTTGAAGAGCAGGTTTGCTAATATGTAAACTAATTACGAATATAAACAGTGTTTGCTTGCTGAATTAATTGAATTCTGAATTATCCATTAGTAATTCCCATAGTGACGTCAAATTGATTTACATTCTACTAAATAACAACGATACGATAAATGTCACACATACATGATAATTAACTGAATGAGAATCAAATAACTACAATAACGTAAATACATATGAATCTCAAGAGCCTAGTTCGCATAATGATTTACATAGATATACAATACAAATTTCATATAGATGACAGCATATGTAATGAGAATTAATTACTAACTCGTTCTGAATGTTAAGTATCTAAACCCGCCGTAGAAATTGAAGTTCCATATAATCTACAATTGATTCACATAATATGTCATGACGATTTACATACTAAATATATACTTATACGAAAAAAACTACATCCAAATAATAATAATGAAAACAATGAGAACCAAATATAATTGTCAAGAGATTATGACAGAACTGATACCCGATATACCTAATCATATATAAGTGATTTACATGATGTTATGAGGTCATTATGGTTAACATACTATATTAGCAATAGTTATGCAACGAAAGTCACATTAGACCAGAAGTACGTAATGAGAACCAATGAATTACTATTGCGTAAAATAATAACAAATGTTAAGGGGTCTGCTGAGACTTTTGATGATCCGTCATAACCATTGTACAGCTTCTATGACATAATGATGACTTACTTACAAAATTAGCAATAGATATACAATAGATTCTCATAAAAGAAGATTCTCATAAAGGTAGGTAAATGATAACAAACGAAAAAGAGAACTCAAATAATCGTCTAAGTATTAGGCTGTACGAAAATAACAGACAATATGATTTCCCGAGCCTCTTTTCCCATTTGTAAGTACATTACTTTTTCTTTCGCCGTCCGCCCTAGTGATGCTTAACCTGAAAATCGAATAGATATTGTAGATTGGTGTGAAGTGATGTGAATATTTCACGCATATCTAAGAAGGAGAGTAAAATTTTCTTCGCTCCAGTACACATTTGAAGATCCTCGTATTGTACTGTAACGGTTTTAGTAAAAATCATGTAAAAAGAAGGAGATTATTAACACCATGTGGAAACCAAAAAGTGCACATCAAAATGTCTAGGAATAAAGTGATTTTTGCCATAAAAATCTTAATCAAATTCTTAGTAAATCTATCTTCGGTATTTCTTTGCATAAGTTAGTAACGTAGCCCTAAAGTTTTTAAACATTAAGGGAGAAAGCACTGTTTTGTATATTAAGGCGCCTTCTTCGCCGGTTCGTTTCGTCTTCGTTTCTGTACCGAATCTGTCCTGATTATTTACCGAGAGCATGTTATTAAATGAAATCTTCCTCAATGTGTAGTTTGGGTACATCATAGATATTCTTTAGGATGCAATCTCACGTAAGATTTCATTATTATTTGGATTTCTGTAAAATGACAAATATCTAATACGAGCTGCTTCTACAGACAAAGCGACATTTTGCCGTGTAATGGCTTAATGGCAACTATCGAAAGTGAGATTTCACTTCACAGAATCGACCTGCAGTTCTTTACCTAGCGGATATTTAGCTCTCTGTACCGAGTACTTCCGAGTGCTGTCGAGTATTACCGAATCATTCGACTCGCTTTTTCGGACAAACAAAACCGTAGCAAATAAAACTGGCGAAGCCGGCGAAAAAGTGGTTTTCGGTAAAGAATCTGTTCAGATTCGGTACAGAAACGACCACACCAACCCGGCAAGGAAGGCGCTTAAGTATGAGAAATTAACCCAAGTCAACGGCGGCTTTGATTACGTACGTACCTAGACGATTTTGATGTGTATAGTTCAGAGAGATTACGCTCAAATTGAGCAGCTCGATGGCGCAGGTGGTGAGCGCGTTCGGTCTGAGATAGTGAAAGTCAAGTGACTGTCGCAATAGCCTGACATTGGATGGGTAAACAAAAATATTCTATCTCTAGTTCCTCCGTGCTTCGTAAGGTACGTTAAGCCGTTGGTCCCGGCTGCATCTGCAGTGTTAGTACCCGTCATTCCGCACTGAGCCCGTGTGGTGTGTCATGGCCCAATCTCCCTATTCCATCCATTTGAAAGGCCTGTGCCCCAGCAGTGGCGATATTAATAGGCTGATGACGATGATTGCCCTGGCCTCATACAAAATGTACTTGGTAAAAGATTATAATAGCATCTGTCATTCCATTATAAATAACTGATATTGAATTTAATGGTTAAATTTACTGATGGCTAACATTATTTATTTGTTAAAAATAAACAAGACAATACATTTTTATTGTTAAACGAAAGTCATTGAATAGCCTAAAAGCATTTTAATGTTTAGATAATATCTCCAGATTTATAACTCAACTCGTGTTTGAGTTAATTTAATAGTTTAGAATAGTTTAGATTTCTTATCGTCACGTGATTTTTAATGTTTTTGACGACCTCCGTGGTCGAGTGGTTCGTACGCCGGGTTTCATGGTGTCGCCGACTCGAGAGGTCCCGGGTTCGAATCCCGGTGGGGGGCAGATGTTTGTGTGATGAATACGAGCATTTGTACTCCAGTCATGGATGTTTAATATGTATTTCTATATAAATATACTTATATATGTACAGTATATGTATTCTATCCGTTACCCTTGCATCCCATAACACAAGCCTTACAGTGCTTACTTTGGGGCTAGGCTAATTGGTGTGAGTGTTGGAAATATTTATTATTTATTTATTTAATGTGGTATCTACATATCATAACAAAACTCTTTTTACACTGCGTTGCGGCGTCGCATCGTATGAATGTGCGACATAACGCGTCGCGGAATTATCTAAGCGTTGCCGCCCGTTGCGTTGAAATTGTTTTACGTTGCGTCATCTCATCGTATTGCGATTAAACTTGGTTTTTGCGATGCGACATCGCAATGCAATGTTATGGCCTAGCTCTACATTGAAACAACGAAGTAATAATATAGTATATTTGTATTGTGGGTAAACTCCTAATAAAACTTGTTACTCAGTCTGTCATCGCCGATTAAACGTTGTATTGCGTACTCCATATTTTATTATTTAATGTCCTTTAACTCATCAAATAGGACATATTGGCGACAAAAAGTACTTAACGCGTATTCAGAAATTAACAGTGAATAAATTTAAATCTAAAGAAAAGTTTACTAGAAAAAAAAAAATCCACGCTGACCAGGCAGCGGACGGGACTCGAACCCGCATCCTTCGCTATCCGGGCGAATGCACTGACCATTATGCTACCACGGCCCTATTAGCCGCGTCGAAATTTTCCTAGAAAAAGTTTACTAGATTTTTTTATTTTTTTATTGTAAACTTTTCTTTAGATTTAAACATCTAGCAGTTAAATGCTTAAAAATAAATAAAATCATAACTATAATTGCTATTTCTTCTTTCAAATGTTTAATACTTGAAAAAGTATTCATTTGACATTGTGGGTTACCTACAATGCGAAGAGATGGCGCTGCCTTGCAGCTTAAGGCTAAGAAAATTTCGACGCGGCTAATAGGGCCGTGGTAGCATAATGGTCAGTGCATTCGCCCGGATAGCGAAGGATGCGGGTTCGAGTCGCGTCCGCTGCCTGGTCCGCGTGGATTTTTTTCTAGTAAACTTTTCTTTAGATTTAAACATCTAGCAGTTAAATGCTTTAAATATAAATAAAATCATAGTGAATAAATTGTTAGCAAAATAATAATGTTGGGTAATGGAAGTTCATTGTTCGGTGGCAGCCTCACATTCGACCACAGGGTTCAAGAGTGGAGCATATTTAAATGCAGATTTACACAGTTTTGTACGGCGAACGATATTGATAACGACACTGACAAAGCAGGAGTAAGAAGAAGAGCTTTGCTTCTAACTACCTTGGTGGAAGATACATACCGCGTCGTTAATGATTTGGTATTTCCGTCTTCATTGTAAAGCTTGGAGTTCCAGACCTTGATACAAAAATTGGACAGCCATTTCTTATCCAAGAAAAGTACCTTCGCAGAGAGATACAAATTGTTAACTGACAA